TTGGATAGATTGATAATTGCCCTGTACCTCGTAAGGTTGTAGCCTCCCAGTAGGTGTTTTGCTTGACGTAAACCCGTAGTGTTACGCCTGTGTTGATTCCTTAGTCTGTTCCTTTCTTTCCTGAGCTCTTCCTTGATTGTACTAGGTCCAATCGCTAGGAAGGGCTCAGGCCCTATAGGCGACGAGGCGGCCGCCATTCTAGCTAGTCGGTCCGCTTCCTCGTTGCCCGCAACTCCTATGTGACCTGGTACCCAAGTTAATTGGATTTCGTTGTGCTCCGCCAGGCTGTTGAGCCTATCTATGCACTCAAGAACCAAGGACGACTTGACCTCAAATGCAGAGAGGGCCTTGTGTGCCGCCTGGCTGTCGCTCAATATTAAAATTCTCTCGTTACGGTAATTCCTACGTAGGTTAATCTCTGCACACAGACTGATGGCATAGAACTCCGCCTGGTACCGAGATACCGAGAGCTGTAGCCTCGGCCCGTAGACGCCAGCCCCAATGCCTTCCGGAGTCTTCGAGCCGTCTGTGTACCATTGCAACGAGCTCGATTGGATCAGCCTCTCCATGAGAGAGGTGCTCCAAGTCGCCTTGGTGCAAAGCTCTATTTTGAAATTGCTGTCAAAGTTAACCACCTTAGGCCTGTCGTCTCTGGGGAGTAAAGCTAACGGAACTTGGGAGCCTAGCTTGTCTCTGTTCCTTAATGATATGGTTTTGCCTCTGCCAAAGCCTTCTCTCGCGAAATTTAGAAGAGTTCGCTTTGCAGCCTGTTCTATGGTTAGGTGCAGCGGCTCGAGCTCGAGGATCACCTCCAGCGCTGCCGTCGGAATTGTGCGCATTGCCCCCGTAATGCATACACATGCCAGACGTTGAAGCTTGGTGAGGGATTGCCTCACCGTGGTGAGAGTGGTTCTCGAGGCCCAAGCCTCTGCTCCATAGGTGACTATTGGTCTAACTATCATGGTATACGTCCATCTCAGAACCCTGGGACTACAGTCCCGGGTCTTCCCTGCCAGGCGTTTGCATACCATTAGTGCCCTCGTAGCTTTGGAAGTGACCGCGTGAACATGTGCCTTCCACAGAAGTTTAGAATCCAGTGTTAGTACCAGGTATTTAACTTCGGTGGCGACGTTGATGGCGACCCCATTCAAAGAAATGTTCCTCATGCCTGGAAGCGTTCTTCTTCTAGTGAAAGGGACAATAACCGTTTTAGAGGGGTTGATGCTGAGGCCCATGTCCACGCACCAGCCTCTTGCCAGGTTTAGTCCCCTTTGCACTATATCACAGAGAGTGCTCACGAACTTTCCTCTGGCGATAATCACGATGTCATCCGCATAGCCTTGACAGCGGATGCCATTGTCCGTGAAAATCCGTAGGAGTTCGTCCGCAACTAAGCTCCACAGGAGAGGGGATAAGACTCCTCCCTGCGGGCAACCTTTTGTAGTTTTTAGCTGTACAACGCTGTCCCCGATGTCGGTTTCAGCGATTCTTGAATTTAGTAGCCTGGCTATCCACCTGCGGATCGTTGCCTGCACATTGCGTTTTTCAAGTGCCCGGTCGACACTAATATGAGAGGTGTTGTCAAACGCCCCCTCGATGTCGATGAAGGCACAGAGTACTGTTTCCCCACACTCAAAGGCATCTTGTACTACCGTAGACAAGGTGTACAGTGCGGTGTCCGTAGACCTGCCCACTCTGTTTAAGGGTGTTGTTCCTGATTTCATGGTCGATAACCTTCTCCATCGCCTTAAGCGGAAAGGAGGTAAGGCTTATCGGCCTGAAGGACTTAGCTAGAGAATAATATCTCTTTCCTATCTTCGAGATAAAAATAACCCCGAGCCCTTTGCCACACCTCAGGGATATGAGCGAGCGCTAGGCTAGCCCTCATGATGTTCACGAGGTGTGGAAGTAGGAGCTCCTTGCCTTGCTTCAGCAACACTGGACTGATGCCATCCACCCCGGGGGATTTATACCGATCGAAGGAGTCCATCGCCCAGCAGACTGATCGGTGGGTAAATAGACTCCTAGCCAGCTTCCAGTCCGCTGGGGACGGCCTGGTCCGTCGGCACGGTGCATCCCCCGAAGTGGGAGTGGCATTCCTGATTTCTTTACTGTAATTAGTTAGACTTGCTGAATACTCAGCCCAGCGCCCTGTGCGCTTTAAAATTATTATTAAATAGTTTGCGTACCTCCTTTCTGAGCACCGATATCTTCCGAGACCACCAGTTGGGCTGCGCCTTCCCTCCTGGTTTTGTCTCCGGGTAGCTTGAGTCAAAGGCATCTACAATAGCGCCATTTAACTCATTGACGGTGCTCTCTAGGCTCATGCAGTTAGTGTACCTACTCCTGGAGTAAATTCCAGTTAGGTTTGACTCTAAAGTCTCGCTGTACTTTGCCCAGTCAGTTTTCCTGGGGTTCCTGTTTGCCTGCCTAGTTTTGATTTCTACTCCCAGTGCAAACTGGATAATCCTATGGTCTGACAGTGAGGGCTCCGATGAGACCCCCCACTGGGTGACCAGAGGGCTAGCCAGTCTGTTGCTAAGCGTGATGTCTAGTACCTCCTCTCTAGCCCTCGTTACAAATGTCGGTGTTTGGCCAACATTGTGGATGCTTAGTTCCTCACTTAAGATGTACTCTAGGAGACACTCACCTCTGCGGTTCGTATCCGTGCTGCCCCACTCAACGTTGTGGGCATTCGCATCGCACCCTATGATGAGGTGGAGCCGTCTCTTTCTGCAGAATTCCACTAGCTGCTGTACCTCTTGCGGAGGGGCGTAGTTGCTGTCCCCCGGAAAATAGGCCGCGGCAAACACCAGCTCTAGGCTTCTGCCACTTAACGAGAGCGTCGTCTGCACTGCGACTAAGTCCTGTGTTAGAAACTCTGTAATGCAAAAGTAATCAATGTTCTTCTTAAGCACCACACATGCTCTGGGCCTCTCGCAGGAGAGGTCCCAAATTACCTTGTTGTTGTGGTTGAGGCCCCTAACCTGGTCTCTGTAGGTCCACGGCTCTTGGATCAGTAGAATGCCCAGGTCATCCGTGGCGAACCTGCTGGAGATGACCGCCGAAGCAGCCACCGCATGATGCAGGTTGACCTGAGCTACTGCCAAGTGACGCGTGGTCATAGTTGGGGCTCGTCGAGATCGGAGAGCTGTAGTTCGCTCTCGCTTCTCCTATCGAGCTCAAGTCGCCTGAAGTCGATGCCTGATAGCAACTCCTGCGTGGATGGCACGTCTTCCGCTGGCTTGGTGGTGGTGGCTGGCTCGGACGTGCTTGCTGGAGTTGGTGTCTGACTGAGGGGTGGCTGTGCGAGGGGTGGCTGTTCCGCCGGTAAGGTCGAGGTCGACTGGGTCGCCTGGGCAGCGGAGGAGTCGGCAGCCGCCTCTATTTGGGTCTCCTGCCACTCCGACTCCTTGCTACCTGTCGCCTTTTGTCGCCACGGCCTCACCGTGACGAAACTGAACCTATAGTTTAGGTTGAAGCCAGCCCTCTTGATGCTGACGTACGATTCCTCATCTATGCCCAGAAATAGTCTGAGCACGTTCTCCTCTACGGAGCTGGACACAACTTTCACGCAGTGATGTGGATGCCCTCATTCTGCGCTTTTAGTAGCCCCAACGCAAACTCCGCCGATTTGTCGGCGCTCCTTGGCAGGAAGACCGTGATGTTATGCACTGGAGGGATGTCATCGCCCCTCTTCGTGCACATCTCGGGTCCCTCCCAGCCTTCAAGTGCCGGTGCTTTCTTCGCCATACAGGTTACTGTTCTCTCGTCCCTGCAGTCAACCAGGAGCATACCGGATCTGAAGTACACACCACAGAACACCAGTGGGTGCGACCCGCGGGTTTAAAAATACAAAAAGCTATAAATTATGTACATCAGCTGAAGAACAAATTAATTACCTTTATGGTGACGTCATTAGCTTTTTAATCGGTTATAAAGGTCATAAGATATTAATATTTAAAATATCTAAAAATTTAACTTTAACCTTCTAGACACTCTTCATTTTTTACTTGCGCCAAATCATTTTGGCATGGTTGAAATGTGCATAAAAAGTTCTATTGATCTGCATTTTTCGTTTTTGCATAGCTGAACGGTCGGTATTCTAGGTTTGTTTACGGAAATGACGAATAACTTAAATCAAAAATGCATATTTTTATGTATTGTTTAGTATTTCCATTAAAACACCAAATATATTGCGAATAATACACATTTTACTTCTAATTGTATACTTTGCGTACTTTTTGTAGTATCATTAAAACACCAAATATATTGCGAATAATACACATTTTACTTCTAATTGTATACTTTGCGTACTTTTTGTAGTACCATTCTACTACCGTTTTCGCAAACTGCGATCACATTCTTCCCCTTTCCTCCTACTTCCAAAATACGAATCTAGATAAAGGAGTGTCAAATTTTAGCTGTCACAAATTACACAACCTTAGTTGTGTTTTTTTACAATTATCCAGTAACTTGCCAGCAACTCTCCAGTAACTTAATTTCTAAGAATTCGCTCCCATAGAAAAAATTTACAAAAAAGTGCGTGAACGCTTTTCCAGTAATAATTTGCAAGTTTCATGAACAGCTGATTAATTGGTTGTTTATTCGCTGCATATTCCTAATAAAACAATATATTTTATATTTAAATGTTTATTTTGGGAATTTCCGCAATAAAAAGCCACAAACAGTTTCCTTATTAGTTTAAATTTCATCCAGCAACATGCGATCAGCTGTTTTTCGTACTGGAAAATTCTTACAAGTAAAAATTTATCCAGTAAAATCCAGTCAAAACTTGCAATTTCAGCTGTCATTTTTCGCTCTCTCAATTCCCCTACTTTGCAAGTTTTTGCGTACGAAAACACCAAAACATGAAAATTCGTAAAAACTTTTACTGGATTTTACTGGAAATGAGTAAAAACACGCAACTCTTGTATTGTTGAATCATGCTGGCGCAGTAAGCATTTGTGTGAAGTTCTGAAAATTACAACTACAACACGTGAGACGTATTCCACAACGTATTCTACGTCGAAACTTTCCCAATCTTTTATTATTAAGTTTTTTAACAAAGATATTTATTAATAGGAATAATAATTTCCATGTCACTGCATTCATAAATCCAGTCGGGCTTTACAATTTTTTTATCTAATAAAGCATTTGAGTCGCTTGCCATCCGCGTTGATATCAAATAATGAGCTTCCGTCTCCTCGAGTGTGATTAGACCTTCATTTACTTTAATTAAATGCTCAACCCTCTTCCTTTCCGCTGGTGTTATGTCTTCGCAAATAAAAAATACCAATCTTTTAAAAACCCTTTTGTCTTTCAAATCTGCCCCCACTTTTAACTTCTTTGCCAAAAATTCTTCTTCTTCAGTGGACAGGTCAAATACGTCCCTTTTTGGATTATGTGAACTATTTGTTTTTTTGGTTTTAGCCTTGTCCGAGGAATTATCTGTAACGAAACACAAATCTTAATTCTTGCCAATTTTTTTTTTTATTTGTTATCTAGATTACTTTCTACAACGCGACGAATTTCATCATCTGTGTCACTTCCTGATGAAAGCAAGGAGATATTTATCATCCTGGAACTAGCAGAATGACAAGGATAGCTCGTGTCTAATCCATTTTCTTTGTAGTTATCTTCGCCGACAGTTAATTCCACGGGTCTTAGTGACTCGTCTAGTATTTCCCCCTCACTTTCAGGTTGATGAAGTTCGGCACTATCCAGAGCATATCTCCGCCATGGAATATTTTTTTTCTGTCTGTAGCAGTCTTCCACCCAATTGCGAGTGACGATTTTACCTTTTCCCTTGACATGGTTATATTTTGGTGTATTTTTGAATGCACATCTATGGATTAAAGTTGTATGATTAATATAAGGTAGCGTACATTTTTAATCTACAAAACTATTCGCACATTAAATGCGTACAACCAGCCCCCCAATCAGTCCTATATTTGGCGCCCATTGCTAAAGCCTTATCCCGAAGGCTTGAGCGTTCCGGATTCTACTGAAAATAAACAATGTACGTGTATTCCATTTTTGATCCAATGTTTTGAAACCTACTTGTATTCCACTGATTACCACAATGGTTCCTTTTAATAGCTGATTAAACGAACGAAATAACTGCGGTTTCCGGATCTCATTTTTGACGCATTCAACACTTTGTGATTTTGTGTCTTTAATCTTTTTAATCTCTATTAGTGTATTTTTGTTATTATCTGCTTGTTCAGTATTCAAAACCAGGTGATTTTCTTTGTAAATTTTTGGTTTATCTTTTGATCGAAGTTTTTCGCGTTCCAGCTCGATGTTTTCGGACAATCTTTGCCTTTTCTTTAGAATTTTTTCATCGTCAATGTTTTCTTCAGTGCCAAAGGCTATCTCTTGACGATTACGATCCAAGCATTGTGGAGATTTATTTTTTTTAATAGACTCTTTATTGTTTGGACACTTGTTCTTTTCAAATTGTATTTTCTTTAAGGTTTCGCTCTCAAATTGTGCATCTACATGCCGTGAGGAAATTGATACTTTTGATGGGCCTTTTCTCTTTTGTACAGTTTGTTTACTGCCACCCAACTCAGATGCTTTCCAACGTTGAAATAGTGATGTCGAACTCTCTGAATCTGACTTTGGAGATTCCTCACGCAATTTAAATGGTCCCAATTGGGATGTGTTCAGAGTGGTTGAGGGTTTTGTATCTATATTTTTCTCAGGAGCTTCCCTATATTGAGTTATACTTGTACCAATATCGGTTTCCGTAACATGTATTTTAACAAATGAAATTCCATACTGTATATGTTTGTTAAAGGGTTGGGTGCAAATTAATTTAATGAATTGCCACTTTTCGGATGTGGCACTTGGTACTAATGCATCCTTATTAAAACAACGAACTCGATTAGCGTTGGTCGAGTTTTTGCTCTCTATAGGTGTCATAAAAGAACACGTCACCAAAATTTCCTGCAATGAATAAGACATACTGATGAAAGTATATTTTTCAAAAGGAATATGATCTGCTTCGAAAGCAAACGTTTTGTTAAAAAACTTACAGTAAAATCTTTCGAGTTGCAACTTGATTTGCTTACTAAAACTTCTATAAATGCAGAGTGCTCATTTCCAATATCAATCCCCGTAAATATACGTGGCTCGCTTAGTTCGAGTACGACATAGGCAACCCTTTCACCTACCGATTGAGTTTTCCATTTTCTTCCTGTTTGTTTAAGTAAATTTTCAGCAGGATATTTCTGAAAATTTCGGAATTTAGGTTCATATGCATATTTCAATTGTATGCCTGAACTTACGCAGTCTTCACTGCTTACTTCACGAACAGATTTAAAACTAGCAAACGGCATTAGATTGGAAATAAATAGATAAATTTCCCCCTGATATGATCAAGAATGATAGAATACAAGATTGCGCCAATCGAGCTGAGAGTAACTGGCCGTGACGTCAATAAATACCAGAATGAGAGAGCAAGACGAACTCGACAAGAAAAAGGGGAAGCATCGAACAAAAGGCAGTATTGCCAAGTTTTCAATTTGAAAAAGCACCAAATATTTATTGGTGTATTTTATGGACTTTATATGCATACATAATTATATTGTAAGGATGCCGATTCAAATTAATAAAAATCAATGTTTCTTGCACGACGGTCGATTTTTTCTGGCTTGATTGAAGTTGCTGCCACATATTTTGTTCTCGCTTATGATTGTGCCATGATTTTATTAAAATTTTTGTGAAGTTGCTTACCACGCTTATGATTGCTATAAATTTTGCTTCCATTTTTTTAAGATTTTATAATTTGGTGTCTTCAAACTAAAAACAAAAGCACCAAAAACGCACCAAGCACCAAACTCAAAAATGTTCGGGTTTTGAATACCCACTAAATTTGGTGCGAAAAGCATTAAGCTGGCAACAGTGAATGTAAACAAAAGTATTTTATGACGTCAGCGATTGGGTGGATGCTGTCAAATCGACGATGAGAGGGTTAGCGGACCGCGAATGGCGCGACCTTTATTTTCTGGATCGTGCTCTCATTCTGGTATTTATTGACGTCACGGCCAGTTACTCTCAGCTCGATTGGCGCAATCTTGTATTTAGTCTGTTCCTTTGAACTTCGGACTAAAACCTGTGGAACTGTCAAACTACAATTTTACGCTCTCAAATGAGAGTAAAAGGAGAACAGATGCAGAAGTGCATAGGAACGCAAAAAGCACTATTTCCTGTAAAAACGTCAGACGGTTTGTTTACATGTCATTGGCACTACACTGATTTGGCTGAAATATCACTAAATAATTAATAAAATCTATACATATTTAAATATTTCGTTGTTTACTTCCATTTTATAACAAATATAAGGTTCTTTGCTTTCACCGCTTTCTGTTTTTGTTTGCACATGTAAATCAGCTGATCGTTTGACACTTTTCATGAACTTACAGGAAAAAAATCTCCGGACTAAATCCTGTAACTTCTGACTAGGAACAGTTGCTCAGTTACTCTCTTAAATGTGTTCCCACTTACAGGTTTTATGTCAATAGGAACGACTTCCTGTAAGTTCTGACTAAATCCTGTAAACCGGACTGCTATTGGAACAGACTAATTCTATCATTCTTGGTGTGATATATTAAAATGCCACCTTAGTGCTGGGCGAGTCCGAGATGTTTTATAGGGCTTTCGCACGCGGCGATTTTTCAGGCAACTTTTAGTTGAAAGCAAAAATCGCCTCGTCCAAACGGCCTTTCAACTAATCGCTATCAACAAAGTTGGTCGCCAACCAACTTTGAGCTCGTTCAACTTTTTTTCCATGCAACCCTGTGTTTGTTTACATTCTGTGTCAGTGTTGGAAAATGAAATTGTTCCTTCAGTACAAAATCTATACAAAAAATGGGTAATTCTCCAGGGTGGGGTAACAACCCCTAAAAAAGGTACGGAAAAGTCGGGAGTGGTACCAAACGACGCGTTTCGGCTAATATTATTAACCATTTAAAAGTTATGAACAAAAAACTTTTGTTAAATTTCGTTGTTTTCTATGGGCAATTACACCGAAAAAGATTCACTAAATCACCTGTTCTCACTTTTTAAACACTATTAAAATATATAATTTAACTTATTTATTAAAGAAACACATAGTTTTATCAACCTAAGATAGATTATTTTGTTATTAAAAAGAAGTTGACAATCTTTGCCAGCAGAAACGCGAGATTCCAAAATAGCTATAGTGCTGCCACTGTTTTAGTATTTCGTAATAATTCACTTTTTCTTATGAGATGTGTGCACTGTTCAAGGCTTTTCGGTATCTTCTTTCGTTTAATATATATATAAATAATGAAAATTTTTTATAAAAAATCGCGCGATTTTTTATTAAAAATTTTCGCCTGCGTCGCTTTTTCCATAAAAATCAATACTTCGATAAATAATAAAAATTTTTAATAAAAAATCGCGCGATTTTTTATTACAAATTTTCGCCTGCGGCCCTTTTTCCATAAAAATCAATACTTCGATAAATAATGAAAATTTTTTATAAAAAATCGCGCGATGGTATAGCGAAATTTGCTATTATATTTTGGTTACAATATCTTATTTAGATGAAAGTAAAAAGAAGAAGAAGTGTATAGTGTAAACTGAGCATAATAGCGCAAATGAAATGTGAAATAAAGTGGCAATACCAGCGATTTGAGGTTATAATAATTTTAGCAGGCGCAAAGTTTGTTTACTCTGTTTTATTAACGAAATATATAAAATAAAAGTGAATAAATGATTTGGTTTGCATAAAATAATAACCGGAAACGTTTTAGTAGTGTTTTAAAAGTGGAAACTGGTGATTTAGTGCATTTTTGACGTGGTAATTGCTCATAGAAAACAACGAAATTTAACAAAAGTTTTTTGTTCATAACTTTTAAATGGTTAATAATATTATCTCCACCCCTCCGGATTGTTATTAGGGGGGCCGAAACGCGTCGTTTGGTACCCCTCCCGACTTTTCCGCACCTTTTTTAGGGGTTGTTACCCCACCCTAGAGAATTACCAAAAAATGTACTTTTCGGCTATAAATTGTATACACTTTTTAATTCGCTCATATATTTTCTTAGTACATTCCCTTCAAGACCAATGATTTTATGGTATTCAAAAGTTTTATTGTTTATGTACATACGTTTACGTATTTTACACTTTTACAAATTGATTCCACGTGCACATGTACTGCATTTAACGTAAATATGTAAGCACACATTTTCAGGTATACATCTTAACAAAAAGCATATTTAAGTTATTATTAATGGATAAAAGAGAAAGAGAAATTTTACATTTTAATAGCATTTCACGTGCTTTATCTTAATATTATACAATTTTAATTATTGTTTGTAAAAATACGGTTTATATTTTAAGAAAAGCCGTACAAATCCAAGGTTCAAACTTTGTGCAACATTAAAAAAACCAACACACTTTCGTAAAAATTTAGAGCTTTTTAATTCGATTTCCTAGATTTATTTTGAGTGTGCGGTTTTCTAGCCCATTAAATTTTAATATAACTAAGTTTTTTAAGATTTCTTTGATGAAGGTGTTGCTAATTTTCTCCATATAAAAAAATCGTCGAACACACTTCGTATAGAAGAAAATGGCTGACATCGTCGACAAAAAAAAATTGCCAAGTTCAACGGTAAGTCCCAGCTACTTTAAACTTGCACTTTATTATACTAAAGTTGAATGGGCTAAAAACTAAAGAATATTAATAAAGCTCGAAATTTTTACGAAAGTGTTCTGGTTTTTGGATGTTTCGCAAAGATTTAATCTTGGGTTTATACAGTTTTTCTTAAAGAATACATTATATTTTATAAACAGATAATTAAAATTAAAGAATAAGAAAATAAATAGTAAAATCTTGTCAATACATGAGTGCCGTAAAGGTATTATATTTAAGGAAATCTCTTCTTATAGCTAACGAAGACTTTGTTTCTATATGAAGCTGACTTAATAAAACTTAGTATCGAAAAGTTTCTTTAAAAATTTGCCTAGGCTATAATATAGTGGTTCGTTCAAGCCATTTTTCAAAACTTACAAAAGGTAAATACGAACAGGCGAACAAAAGAGAATACAAAAAATTTCTTGCTGTGAATTTTCAGAGCTATGTATATATTTTTAGTATTCATTACAAAATTGTACTAAAAAGTACTGCGTAGTAGGAAAGTATATTGCAAATGAAATTGTATCAAACAAGTACAATTGTACTAAAAATGCCAACACTGTTCGGTATACATACTTTTTTTCTTTTTTACTCTTATTTTATCTTTCAGCTTCGCTAAAAGCACTTCTACCAACGCTTACCAAATTTACGCCAATTGATAAAATTTTGCGATTTAAATTCATTTTCAATAATGTAAATAACGATTCGTGTTGAATCGAAAAACGCCTCGTCTGAATAGGGATGCCAACTTTTTCACTTTCAACTTCTCATTCAACTGCGTATTCAACTTTTGTTGCCTGTAAAATCGCTGCGTGCGAATGCCCTATTACGCAGCGTTTTTGCAGCATTTAGGCAGTCTGCACACGGGTCGTATAGCTTTAGACGCGTATTAGATGCTACATATGAAAGTTGTACGCTCAATTCCGCACACGTGCATTTAAATGGAGGGCTGTATATGAGTCGTCAGCTTCACGAATTCGTCAAAGCCAAGGCGCATCCATACAAGGTGGTGTTGATTGCATATAAGTAAAAGACCCGTGTATTTTGTTATTGCTTTTTGGTACAGGAGGATGTCAAAACGAAAGGGAATAGGAGATAATTTTTATAATTTTCTTTTGTTGAAATCCTAAAGTTGCGCCGTTTCGTCTTGGATGACATTCTTCTGTTTTAGTGTAGAGACAAAAATATCCAATCGCAAGCTAGCTGAAAATCGCTTAGCGTACAGCAAGGCGAATTTATATAAGGTGGTGTTACTAGCTCAGCTTATTCACACACACTCTTATAGCCCGAACAAAATGAAAACGACGACCTACAAACCACATCTGTCAAATTAACACGTACTCTTATGTAGATAATTATTTTGGGGACGACCGGGCTACGCGACGGCAGTGGTTGTGGCCAGATTAGATCTATTTCTATTTTTCTGGCGACAGATAAGGTTCTTCTTCTTTTATGTCAAACTCATACAAATTCACGATGTCGCTGCCGCGTTCAAAGAAATCATGTCGCCATCGACAAAGCGTTTAGATAATGAAGATGACAAATTGGAAGATGTGGTCCGCAGCTCGTCGTTTTCAATGTGTTCAGAACTTTACAGATTTTGACAGTTTATGCCGCCAAAGCAAAAACAAAATACATGTAAATTTTTGTTTTTGTACTCCTGCTATCACCTTATATTAATTCGCCTTGGCGTACAGCAGTGTTGGTAGCTAGGCGTACGTACACTGAGAAAAGAGAAAGAAGAAGAGG